ACAACAGAACAAGAAAATGGGATTACTCTGTATGAGCTGCTAAGGGAATGGGTTAACCTGTACAAGAGAGTAGTAAAGCACATATTCAACCCACTATCTATTCACCAGCTACCTTCTATTTATCCATCTAGCCACCCAGCATTCAACTCTTCAGTAGCTGCAAGTTAAACCCACCTACATCTAAACAGCACACTTGCATTTTGCTTAGGAATGTGGCATTTATACTGAAGGAAAATGTTGAGTTGTAGATGACAGAAAATGAGGTCAAAATGGAATTGGAGCTGTTTGTAACAGAGGGGAATATTTCTAAAAAGGGAGGCACCAGGCTCTTCCCATTCTCAAGCCTATATGCTGCTCTAAGAGCCGAGAATTCCCCTTAGGAAATAGAGATAGGTTTGAATAATTTCTAAGAAGAGCCAAAGGCATTTACAAAGAATCGTTTTCATAATGCTAAGGCCATTAAATAATGAAGAAACGTACACAGTGAAGTTCAAAGGGTAAATTTCTGGGTTGCTCTACTTATCACAGTTTCATTCTTACGATAAAGTTATAATGTGTCAACATGTTCCAATTAAGTTGTGGATGATGTTAGAAAGTATTATTTTCCATGAAATCCATTGTATTTATCCACAAAATTCTAAAGATATAATACTGTAAAATATAATATGAACCTATAGAATTTTTAACTGTTTTACTATTCAAAGGGAAAATTACGAAGTTAAAGCAATATGTATTACAAAATGTAAGTACACAGTACAGTTCTGAGCCAAAAAAACAACTCTGAGCTAGGAAGATGAGAATGTATCATATATAATCATAATATAGCAAGGGACACAAAGCACTGGTCTTTGTCATATATCTATATAGCTTAAAAGAAACAGGCCAATCTGCTTTAGCTGCTGACTATGTTTAAAAATCAAGACTCTGAAGCATCAATTGTACAATTTTTTAATGAATTACCATTTCCAATCAAAAAGCATTCAATATATTCATCACTGTAACATCTGGTACCCCTGACTCAACTAGGTAGAGGCCTCACACACATCTCAGTTACAAAGCAGAAATTCTCAGTTACAAAATAGAAATTCAAGGAATAATCACTTTTGGTATGGTAGCAAGCATATTGTACTTACAACAGTGACATAGAAGAAATGAAAATACAAATGAGTTGGACTTATTAACTGTTTGAAAAAGCACTACAAAATTAGAATACTCTAAGAACTTCATCACTTTAGATGTTATGTGTACACAAAAATATTTCAGTTTCACTAAAAACATAACTGTATTGACAGTACTGTCTTTTAAAACATATTTATATTTACTTATTTGAAGGGCACACACACACACACACACACACACACACACACACACACACACAGTGAGAGAGATAGACAGGATTCCTTATCCTCTGGGTCACTTCCCAAATGGTCATAAGGCTTAGGCTGGGACAGGAGCCCCAAGTTTCTTCCAGACATTGACATAAATGCAGGGGTCCAAGCACTTGGGCCATCTTCCCACATTTCCAATGTGCTATCCAGAACTAGATTATGAGTAGAGCCACCAGGTCTCCAACTGGTACCCAAACACTATGCCTGCATCACGAGTGCAGGTTGAGGCTGTTCACCACAATATTGGCCTCTGGATTGCCCTTCCTTGATGGAACAGCGCAGGGAAGGCTGAGGGAGACAAAAGTCCAGGAGGCGAGAGAAAGAATTCTTGAATCTGGTTACTCTGATTTGGACCATGTGAGAACCATATTGGCAGTATGAAACCAAACAGGTATTATGAAATCGTAAGAATACAGGTGTCCAGGTAAATGTTAAATTAAAAGAAACACTAAAGATAATGTGTGTTTGTTGTCCATTGGTTAAAATTCAGAATTAAATTAAAGAGAAACATGAAGATGAATAATTACACTTTAGAAGGGTCCAAGTAACCCACATTACATTTAGATGCCTCCTTTGAAATCATTAATTATCTGTTTCAGAGATTCATGACAATTTTTAGTTCAATCACTTAAGTTTCATCAAAATAATTAAAAATGTTAAAACATTATTAATTTTCTTGATGCACATGAAATTCAGGAGTTTTTGTTCAGACTAAAGGCTGAATGTACCTAAGACATAGCCTAAACATGGGTTCTATTCTTAAAAAACGAGTAAGTTACTTTAGCTAGAATATCTACACACTTAGGTAGATAATTCGTCCAAAACAACTCATTTGGGTTTTACAATGTAAGTCACCTTGCAAACTTGAGGGATACATAATAGTGAATAAAATGCACCACTGGCATATATGCTGGTGTGTGTGCATAAGTGAATGCATACCATGTCATCGTGTGAATGGCTATGGAGATAAGGGGTCTCGGAGGGTAGGGTTTGTCATGGGAAAATCTCCAAGAGGAGTTGAAATTTTAACAAAACCAAAACATGGTGAAGCAGTGAAATAGGAGGAGTATCTGGAAGATGAGAAAGCCATGCAGTGGATTAAGCAAGGGCCCTCAGGAGGAACTGTTTGAAGAACAGCTTAAAAGCCAGTATGGCTACAGCACAATGGCACTCAAAGGCTTAGGGAGAAAAGACTAGATGCTCTGGATAAACTTTGTTTACCCTTTATTCACCCTTTAAAAGGTAGTTTGAACAAGAATAAAAGTGCTAAAAACCATGTCCTCAAGAATTTGTATATTTGACTTGCATTTTATTTCAGTGTCAACAGCAACAAATAACCCAAACTTCACCATGTCTAATACACAACTATTAGTTAGTACCTCATCCTACTCCTTTCACATCTTACCAAATGAACAAGCACGCAGACAGCTATTCAAATCAAAACACTGGAGTGGCTCTTCTCCATCGTGCACGTAGCACAGGACCTCCTGTAACTTGAAGTAAGTGCAGGTGGTCGTTTGAGTTGCAGCTCTCCTACATTCCAGCTCCCTGCTGCAGGCCCAGAAAAGGCAGCAGACAGACATGTCCTGAGTGCTTAGGTCCCTGCCACCTTTGCGGGAGACTCAGAAGCTTCTATCAGCTATTTCGGAAGTGAATGAGCAGGCAAAAGATTTCTTTAACTTAAACCTTTCAAATAAGTTTAAAAATTATAGTTCAAAATAGAGACTCACATTGAAGTTTCTACTGTCTGCCACTATTGAACTTCTTGTGCTAGCTACACTGGGATCTATCGCCACGACAATAAGTTGATTCAGTAGCTGAGTGAAGAGCAGCAGAAACATGAAAACCCAAGGGAGCCTAATAAAGACTTGTAAGAAAGTTTATTTTGCTATTGGTTTAACTCCAACCCTGTGCTTGACTTGCATTTGTTATTCACAACAGCCTTGTGAGGTAAATACTATGTCGTTTCTATTTTATTTGTATTTTTCTAAGATTTATTTTTATTGGTAAGGTACATTTACAGAGAGAAGGAAATATATAGAGAAAAATCTGTCCACTGGTTCACTCCACAAGTGGATGCAACAGCCAGAGCTGAGCTGATGTGAAGCCAGGAGCCTGGATCTTGTTCTGGGTCTCGCATGCAGGTGCAGGGCCCCAAAGCATTGGGCTGTCTTCGATTATTTTCCCAGGGCACAAGCAGGGAGCTGGATGGAAAGTGGAGCAGCCAGCACACAAACCAGCTCCCATATGAGATCCCGGCACTTGCAAGGCAAGGATTTAGTCACTGGGCCATAGAGCTGTACCTGACATCATTTCTATTTTATCAATAATGAAAAGAGTAAGTGAACCCTTTATATTTTATTTACATAACCTTCTTTGATGAACCTAGGTTGAGGCGCTTGTTCAGAAAGAAAGAACAGCAGGGTAAGAATCAACTTTAGACATATTTAGATGAGGCTTATCTAGACATTGGTCTCATATCATATAAAAATCCTTGGAAAACAATAAATGAGAGCCATGAATGTTTTTATAAGTCCTTAAATGATAAGAAATGGTAACTGTGTGAAATCTTATGGAAAACAGAAAATTACATTTTCTTTTTGGGTTGGTCATTCATTATGGATGTCACTGTTGCTTGGGATTATAATGCAATTTTTATTATTTTTTTTTTTCTTTTTAACTGTATTTGAAAGGCAGAGGGAGGGGAGAAGGAAAGAGAAAATTCCATTCAGTTGATTTACTCTCTGAATAGCTGCAGCAGCCAGGCCTGGGCCAGGCTGAAGCCAGAACTTTATAATTCAATCTGAATCTTGCAACTGGGTGACAGGGACCCAGATGACTGAGGCACCACCTGCTGCCCTGGAGAAGCACCAGGAGAAGGAATCTAGAATGAGGAACGGAGCTGGGATCAGAACCCAGGCACACTGCTATGGGATGTGGGCCTGTCAACTGGCAGCTTAACATATCATGCCCCAAAATGACTGTTAATAATCATATATCTAAAAGTTAAGTTTCAAGAACTCAGATTAACTACTTCAAGTGTAAGTGCTGTATTGTTTTGATACAAAAAAGCTGAGCACTCCTAACTGAAAACCTAAACTGTTCTGAATTCTGAAACTGTTTAGGTGTCTGTGTCTGATTTCATGTAATAGTCAGAGATACACTAGTATTAGCATAAAATAACTACCAGACTATGTGTATAATATGTCCTTAAACATGAAACACAAATTCACTGTTTAGATTTGCATTCTATCCTCAAGAACTATCTTATTATAGATACGAGAACACTTTAAAGCAGAGCAAAAATGTGAAATCTGAAACACTTCTGTTTCTAAGCATTTGGATAAGAGATTCTCAACCTGCACATGATGAATTTGGTGTTCACTAGAAAAGCCTAACGAAAATTTTTGCTTCGCACATTGTACCTGAAAATTGGATTAAGTTATATTTTTAAAACACATCCTTATTTTACTATGGAGCTGACCTCTTGCCACGCATAATATCAGAACAGGCAGCTTTCAAGTCTTTACTCAGTCCTGAAGACTCTGAAGTCATTTTTTTTGAAGACATCAGGAAGAAAGGAAAAATTTAAAAGATGAAAAACAGTCTTACCAAAATCTGCAAAAGCTGATTGTCCAACCACCAGCATATTTTGCGGTTTTTCAAGTATACTACTGATAGAGAAGTTTCCATCCTGTGAAAAGCATATAATTGTGATTATTCCAATATAATACACTCATTTTCCAAGTGTAAAATAAAACATTTTAGTTGATGCAGGGAAATTAACCATTTGAGGCTTTTATTATAATGTACAAAATTAATTCCTATTTTTCAATCCCAGTTTTATTAGAAAACAAAAGAAAAGAAACTGCCACGACTTGAAAAAGAATACACAAATTTGGAATGTCTTCCTTGCTGTCATTTCTGGTATAACAAATCATCATTACAGTTTTAGACATAATTATAGTTGTCTACTTCCAACGATTATGGATTGCTGTGAAGATATAGAAGTATAAAAGCTAGTTTCTTTCTTCCAAAAGCTTCCAGTCCAGTTGGAAGGCAGGACTTAAGTCAGAAAGAAAGAATAATAAGGTGACATCTAAGCAGCACAAGTAGGTAACAAAGACATATTTATGGATTCCAAGAGAAGAAAAAAAAATGTGTTACGGACAATTAGAAAAAGAAAACGATCTTCATGTAAGACGAGAATTCTATTGATCGTAAAGGGCCAATTCCTTATTGATTCACTATTATGTATCAATGAGAAAGATAGCAGAAGAACACACTAGCTGCCAGGCACCAAGCAGAAGCAGCACTATTGGAAAGAAGTCATGAGGTTACTGACTGCAGTTATTCTGTCCAGAATTAAACAGCACGCGTCTGACTTCAAGAACAATACACATTTCTGGACATGGCTGCCTTTCCTTCCTACAATTTTTGATTATTACACAAGAAAAGCGATCAAACACTGAATGTAGAATTTGAAGTTCTGATGTTGTCACTAATATTCTGCTGTTTGATATATTGATTGTCATTCCTATACATTTTTATTCAGGATGGCTATTTATTTCAACATTATCTTTTCTTTTGTTGCTCCTCTAAAGATACTTATTTATAAACCACCTGCTTAAGAAATCATCTCTGCAGACCCACTGTTACGACAAAAGCCCCAAATGAAACATAAAAGTACCATGAATAAGCAAATAAGACCATACTGTAACTATTTGCCAAACATTTTAACACTCCAATATCCCATGGACAAATCTATTTACCCTAACATTATTAAAGTATTTTATGTACTTTTCAAGTGATTTTTCTACAGAAATCTTTATTATAAAGTACAATAAACCTCAGCTTCCCCTCTGGAAACAGCTGGGCCTGCAGTTACTTAAGTGATGATATAGCAAAATTGTTAAATGTCTACTTCAAATGTTAAGTGTTTTTATTTTATCTTTACAAAAGCACAGCATTATATAATCAGAGTTGACACAATGTTTCTTAAATGAGTGGAAATATTTCTCTCAAAATACAGCAGCCTACCCTGAGATACAGCTGAACATCAATCCAGCATACTGACTCAAGTGAATGAATCACCTTGCTATAGGTCTGTGAAATACAATAAGGGCATCTATTAGTACATACCCTCACCATTCATCCCTACATAGAAACACTGTCAGCTTCCCAGGTGACAGCCTCCCATGTCTACAACGTCACATTCACTGGAGAAAAAGTAAATCACTTTTCTAATTAATGAAGAAAAAATATGCAGAACACCTGCTATGCATGACAGAGTTGGAGAAATGACAATCATTTATTTAGACAAAGTTCCCATATTATTTCTCTTAGTTTTTTTCCCCTCCACTTGACAGTACAGATCTATACCATTTAATTTCCTTCAGATTAGTATCATTTTCATGTTTAGTATTTCGCAAAAATGACTTAATAAACTATTTCAATATTATTACTTTACCTAGATTTATACTTTTTAAAATGCTTATTTAACTTATTTGAAAGACAATACAGAAGAGAGTCAGGGGGGAAAATCTATCCATTGGTTCAGTCGAGGAGCTAAACTCTGTCAAACTCTGTCAGTTTCCTACATTGGTGGTAGCGGACTCAAGACTTGAGTCACCACCTCCCGACACCCAGAATATGCGTTAGTAGCGAGTTGGAGCAGAAGTTGAGAAGCTGGAACTCAAACCAGGTACTCCAAAATGGGAATGAAGGCATCCCAATAGAGTTAACCCTCATGCCGCAATATCCACATTTTGAAGTACAACACGGCTATAAGTTATCTTCAGAGATGAAGCTGCTATGCAACTGCTTCACACAGGAAAATGAGCGTGTGACTATTATTCATTCCCATGCCACATACACAGAATATTGTGGTTGTAAGTGTACTAGATTAGGGGAAAGTTTAGTGGGTGCTAGCTCCAGTCTCCCTGGAAGTTACATCATTTGGCGATGTCACACCACTCTGGGTTTTGTTTCTTCAACTTTTGAAGGTATAAAGATACTGTCTAGTTGCTGAGTTCTGGAGAAAAACAAATACAATGACAGGCAAAATAGTGCTTTGTAGTGTAGTCCATCAGGCATCTGGTGTACAAGGTAGTGTTGCAAGCATTTTTTTTCACTGTGTCATAAACTCCAATGTCTGCCCCTTTTTAAAAGATTGATGTTGTTTGAAATGCAGAGTAACAGAGGGTGAAAGAGAAAAACAGTTCTCCCTGTTGGTTCACTGTCTAAATGCCTGCAACAGCAAGGGCTGGGTAAACCTGATGTCAGGAGCCAGGAATTCCAGCTGTGTCTCCTATATGGGAAACTGGAATCTATGCACTAGCTTTATCATCTGTTGCCATCTCAGGATCATTAGCAGGAAGCAGAGTCCACAGGATTTGAACTGACACTTTAAAATGGAATGCAGGTGCCCAAGTGGTGGCTTAACCCACTGTGCCACAATGCCAACCTGTCTGTTCCGTTCTTTACTGCTATATTCTTATGGAGGTCACTGCTTTTAGTTCCAAGTTGGTTCAGCACTCTAGAAATTCGGCTGCAGCAATGTCTTTTTCTTTGTTTACTTGGTTTCCAGATTTCTTGGGCAAGAATAGAAATTTCAGAGTGTGCCCTTTGACTAACGGGACAGAGCTGCCACAACAGCTGAAAATACCATTGTGGGGGAATTGGGGGGGGGACACATGGTCTGGGGATAAATTGGAATGGAGGCCACAGAGGATTCATTTCACATGCACAAAATGACTTCTAAGGGTCTCCACAAACCAGGCCACAACACCCAGAGGTAATCAAAAGAGCAGAGACAGCGTGATCAGAAGGGGGAATCTGGAGGGCCTTCTTGGGTCAGGTCAAAGCACCTGCCTGTGTGCAAGAGAGCTGGGGCGGGGGAAGGACCAGTCAAGGTTGGTCATGGCAACAGCCTGGGCTAGCCATGTCTGAAGGCAGGTCTGGGAATGGTTCTTTGGGGTTGCCCCGACCAGGGCACAGCAGCCACTGGCACATGTGTAACCCAGGACTGGGGACAGGTCAGGCCAAGCTAGGCCACAACATCTGCTGATGAGTGTTGTGGCTGGAGGCTTGTCATGTTGGGCTACAGCACCCTTGTCATGTGAGAACTAGGGCTTGGCGGTCTGGCTGATATGGGATCTTTGGGAACACCCCTGTTAGGCTGCAGCACCTTCTGCTGCAAACAATAGGCAGAGCCAGGGGCAGGCCAGGCTGGACTAAGCTGTAGTATTCACCAGTGAGAGCTAGTAATGGGGACTAGCTGGCCTGGGTTAGGTTGCAGCACCCACCTGTATGTGTGAGAATCAGGGATGTGGGTGGGCAGAGTATGGATTTACAGGGGTTGCCCTGACTAGGCTACAGCACCTTCCAGTAACCAGCTGTGGGTGGGCTGGTCCTGGCCAGGTCACAGCACCCACCAACAGGAGTAAACAAAACCAGAACTGAAGGTGGATCATGTAGGAGTTCACTTTGGGGTCACCTGGACTTGGCTGCGACATACTGTTGAGCATATGAGCCAGGCATGGGGGTAGGCTGGGCTGGGCTAGTCCGTGGTATCCTCTGGTTTACATGAGAGTCAGGGTTGGAGGCAGAACTAACCCAGCAGCTGCAACTGACATGTGCCTTGGCTGCTGTAGGGGGTGAATTTGCTGCCCAAATTGCCTCACAGGAGGCTGAGATGTGAGGATCTCCCAGGTGAGATTTTGTATGGGCTCCCCAAAGAGACCACTGCACTCAGCCCAGACCTCAGGGAAAAATCACATAGATAAGATATGTGGTATGACCCCAGAGCACATTTGCAGGACTGGGCCACCTCAGCTGCTGACTCTGGTGCAAGAATACTCAGATGCACAGGAAAGACAAGACAATCAGCTCACCTAAGCCAACAGATTCCAAGCAATTCATCAAAAGATGGAAAGAAGGAAAGGCTGAGCAGCACCCAAGGCCATGTTCTACAATAAGTATCTAGGTCAGTGCACGTACTAAAGTAGACATGGACAATCAATAGCTCTAAGAGAGTTTCTCGACTTTGATACAAGGAAGTGAACATTTCAGAACAACACACCCAGGGCATTCTTCCCCATGTCTGGCCCTCAAAGAAGACATCAAAGGACAGTCTCTTTCTTGGGAACTAATGTAGTTTGACAGCAAGGAGCAGTGCACTTTCTCCCCGCTTCCTGCCACCCCCATCCCATCCTGTGGACACAGAAGGGAAAACTGAAACACATATCTCACCTACCTTCCACCCCACCCTGACTCTCTCCATCCTAGTCAGAGGCCCACATTGGCCTGCAACTACATCAGCTTTTCAACAAGTGTTAAAATAAAGTAAAAAAAAAATAATTTAAAAAAGAATAGAAAGTTTAGGGACAGATCCCCTAATTAGCTCTGAGTTTGTTTGTTATCCTTGTTGCTAAACTGATTTTTCCATTTATTTGTACAATGTATTTTGTAAGATTTTTGTAAGAATTAATAAGATAGTTCACATAAAGTACTCAGTATGGTACCTAGCATATTATACCTATTTAATTAACATTAACTATCATTAGCAATAGTAATACCATTATTTCTGCTATTACCCTGGTAACTGAACTGACCACCTCTGAGGAGGGAGACTTTTTCTGCCATTTTCCACTGGATTCCCAACCACAACTGCTATGTTGTAACCTGTATCCTTGCATGATTGAGTATCAATTATAATCATTTATTGCCAATAATGTCACATTAATACTGTTAAAAAATTATCAGGAAGCAGTATGTGATGACAACTCTGTGACTCTACCCTTACTCACTCTGGTACTTCTTTGCATCAGGGATCCACTGGCAATATTTGCAGATATTTCTGACCACCACAGTTGTGGGTACTCACTAGTAACTGATTAGCAGACACTAATGATAGTTCTATGTAAGCTACAATCCATAGCAAGTTCTCCTCCACAAGAGATTACCAAATGGTGATATTGTCACGGTTAAAAATTTGGAAGAAAGGGTATCTGGCATTGCCATTTTTAAAAAACATTTTTCTTCAAGATACCTGTCTACTTTGTTTCTTGTGCACTAGCCCTACATTTTAAGCTTCCTTGGAATGCCTCTATTCTAAAATAAGGTAACTTCTTTGTTTTTCTCTATTTCTGTTCTAGGCTACCAGTACACATTCTAAATTACTGCTACATTAATGTTGATGCTCAGTTTAATCATTCACCTCATTCTAGATTACTATAAATTCTACCTAAGCTATCTCTATTACTTAAGACTTTTTACATCAACCTATCTGATATGCAGAAGCCAGATTAACTGCTAGTTCATGAAAACTCTATTCATCTGTCTTCCTTAAAATTTTAATAGCTTATCAACACATTTTTAAAGAATCAAATTACTTAGTTTAGAAATACAGCCTTTGCTGATCTTGCTTAAACCAATTTTTCTAAGTTTAGCTTTTAATTTTGCTTTTATGTTCTGGCTCAAATCTGCCACTATCTACTTTTTTCTTCTGCTTTCTTTCTCACAATCACTAAAAACTGCTCCTCTGGACAAGCCACTGCAAATGCCACATCTTTCCTGAAGCCTTCACAGTAACTATGGGTAGAATAGATGAAGGCAGCTACTCAATCTCTCCTGTAGTTTAAGATTTGTACCTGCCATTACAGTGGTCAGAACCATCTACACTTACACCTCAGCACCCTTCTTATACTAAACACCCCTGTCACCTCTACATCTCCCAGAACACGACCATAACACTGTGTCTACAGCAAATATTCTAAAAAAGATTTGTTGTAGTTATCATTTTTATTAGCTAGCATTTTTACAGCTTTTGCATTATTTTTGGTGGATTAATGTTGTACGGTCAGATGAGCAATCATTGAAAATAAACATTCATTTTATAAAAACTGTACTTTATTTGAATTGTCTATTTTCTCTTAATTTGTACTTAATGATCTACTTGTTAACATATTAACACTGTTTGCTTCACTATGGTTAGTTTGAGATAAGTTTCTTTCCTTGTAGAGTTCAGTTTTAGCAAGAATCCCAAATTTAGTTTACCCCAAATTTTTTACTCAGTATTTACCCAAATTCTTTATCACCGAACATCACCCAGCTAACATCCAGTCATTTGGCCTCCATTCAGCAAGAGTTTTGTTAAACACAGAATTACCCTAGGTAATAGTAATTTCCCACACAAGAACCACAACTTGTTCCTTGGAGTACTGAGTTTTTCCTTTGTATTTGGAGTACAGATTGATCTCTTTTTCCTATTGCAGAATTCATTATAAAAGTCCCCTTGAGTAAAATCTGCCTTAGTGCTTTACTTAATCTTCACAAACATTCTATAAAGCAGGGATTATAAAAACCTAATTTCCATGTGAGGAAATTGACAGATGTTCCTGAGTTGGCCACTGGCTCCACTAGCAATCCTATTCTTCACTATGCAACCTAAAACTCAACTTATATTTAACGTGGCTTACTCTTCATTATTTAATTTTTCTTGTAATCTATATCAAGCTAAAACTCAAATCAAATCATGGTATCAGTTTGGGAGTCTTGCTCTCAAGTTAAAAAAAAAAAACCCACTGGGAAGACTTGTTCTTAATCCTAGTCAATTTGGCAGTAACTTTAGTGTGGTTCTTACTTCTATATATATGCCTGCAGACAGAGGAAAAATTAGCCTTTAAAAAAGGCTTTCTTCATATACCATCATGCTGACAAATTAAATGACAATAACCTCTCCCAACAGCTGACAGCCTAGCAGGGGTCCTGTTAACATGTGCATTAGGGCAGACTGATTGGTTTAATTGGCAGTCATGCCTAAAAACCTGCAGAGGGGTTGGTGCAGAATGAATCATTTTCTTCAGCAATATTTAGTAGTTTGAATGCAGCAACACAGCCACAGGCTCTGAAAGCTGTTCTGCTTATTGTTGAAACCAACCGACCAAGTGATTGCTTTCATTTTATTTTCTAAAACTGTGCTTTTACAGAATCTACCATTTAAAAATGCTTCAAAGGAAAGATTTCTTACCAAATTTTCCCATAATTCAAACTGGGGTTTACCAGAGCCAGACAATGTCGTGAGGAATAAATCTAGAAGGAAAATATAAGAAATGTAAGGTTCATAGTTAAACTGATGGGTACAATAAGAAGCCAGGAAGAAATGCAAAACATTCAATCAATTACTAACAATTGTACTAATCATATTTTAAGTTGCAGTGTAACAAACAGAAAGTAGACGATCTTGGGCCAGTGCAATCAAACAAACTGATTTGGTGTTTATCTTTCAAAAAATTCCTTTATTTTCAAGAACAGCAAGTTGGAAGGCGGTGTTGTTATAATCACATTTTGCACTCTCATCCTAAAACTCAAATCTCATCTATGTATCATAGTCAGGGTTCAGTATTATTTTATCAAGTATTTCAGCACCCAAAATATTTAGTACTCATGTTACATGAAAACTAAAATTGTTTCAAATTTTGAATAAAGAAAGCTTGCTTTATTGAAAAACACAAGAATTTTAATAACTCTATTTGGAAAACGATAGACTGACAGTCAATCAAACTTCCTGTAATACACAGGTCGGATGAACTAATAATTTTGAAATACTTTCAAAGAAGCAACTTGATTTAGTGAATAGTAAAGGCTTCAAAATTCTGAGGAGCTGGATAAGGTAACAGAGCATTAGATCAGGTCCCTGCCAGAATGAGAACGAAGTTTCTTTGTGAGTGAACAACATATTTGCTTCTTCCCATGGGGTGCCCTGAATGAGACAGACGTGCCAATCCCACTCTCTGAGTTTTCAGGTTTATGACAATAGCATGAAAGCAGCAATACCACTCTCCTGAATTCCCAGCTTTATCATGAGAATATAAAGAAGTCACTTACCTTGCTCTTCTGATGGCATTATTGCTTTATCATGAGTAGACTATACAGGACTACAATTCTGACCTTTGGTGGGTTTGATTGATTGATAGCTGCTATTCTGTTTGGCTAAATTGTCTTGGAGCTTGCTTTGTTGGAGCCTCACCCCAGCCCGTAACCTCCTGGCTGAACACACACACTGACCATTACCTTTATTTGATGCTGCTTTGCTCACTGTACTCAGTGGAAAGTCTTCTACATATGGAGGTAGCCTCCTTCATCACTGTCTCCCTGTAACTGGGTAACTCTCATGGGAATTAAATGACACTTTTTATTCTTTAAAAAGTGGAAATTACTCAGCGTGACAGGAAGGCCATGACTATTTTAAATAAAAGATTTTTCTCCCTCATATTAAACGTGCTTTGAAAACTATCATTTACATTTTAATGTTTTCTGTAAGGGTTTTACATGGCATTAATGACAATGATTTGTGTAGTAATTATAATGCAAAGACTTTAATAAAATCCTCAGAAAGATAATTTTTTCACTCTTTTAATGAGCTAAAATCAGAACTCCTCATTCCAGTGGGAACCATCATTTCCAAATTTCTGCATTGTTTTCCATAAGGTAGTTAGGAAGGAAGTCAGAAATTAGCCTGTGTGTGTGTGTCTTTGTGTAGGTGAGGCTAAAGAAACAAAAGTTTCTCCTCAGGGTGGTATGTAACAATGTTGGAAACACAGCTTAGAAGCAGCCCAGTATTTTACACTACAAAGTTCTGCTCATACAGGGAGTCTTAGTCTTCCCCATAAGAAAAGCTCTAGGAGAATCCTCTCCACTCAGCACCTAAGTGGTTCCTCAGCTTGATTATGCAATAAAGACTACACAGAGTTCACCCAAGGAAAGCTTGGTAAGGGAAGTGCCTGGGCCCAGAGTCATATTTACTCAATCTGGGAATACTGTTGCCAATCAACACCTCAAAGAACTGTGGAACCCCCAAATTAGAACCACTTGCACAATGCACAAAGAGCCAATCAATGCATTGGAGTGTTGGAAGAAAGTAGGTATTTATGGCAAAGCACACAGCAAAAACCAGGGAAGCTACTGTTTAATTCCTAGACTCCCCAAGGAGTTAGGAGCAAAGATTTTCATGGATAGAAATTGTGGCCTCAAGGTGCATGATCGGCCAAGCTTGGTTTGTCAGTGGAGTTTGTGACTTTCCTTTGATTGGTGATCGATGCTGTGATCTTTAGGGAAATTATGATGGCCATATGAGCTCAGGTTGGTCTGGGGACTCTGTGAAGGTGGCAGTTAGGCTCCACCCAGACCTGAAATTCCCCTACAGAAATTACTTCAGGACACACTTGGCCATCAAGGTTCTTATCTATTTGATATGCAAATGACTCCTTGAGTCTGGTGGTAAGAACCTTAGAAGGTCCCATAAGTGAGTTCCTTTTGGTAGAGAACAAGAAACAAACAAACAAACAAACAAACAAAAAACTTAGGCTAATGGAAGTAGACAAGAGGCTGGGTGCTGCTTTTGCATTATAGGGATCTGGTGTCAACTGAGTAGACACTTTGATAGGAATTTTATCTAATTTTTACTCAGAAAATCATTTGTCCTGGAGAACAAAGAGGAAGTGAAAGAGAAGAACTAGACCCTATTCCCTTATAGTCTGCTCTGAATAGACTGTGTGCTCCTAAGCTGTAAGCCTGGCCTGCCACATGTATTCTCTCCATTAAACCAGTTAACCTTGTTTTCTTCATTCTGATTCACTGGTCACTCTCCCAGGTTCTGTTTGGAGTGGTATCTGTCCATTTTGATGGATGCCCCATTCCACTAAACCTTGCTACCTCACTTACTACTCCTCTGTCTCATGTCTGAATTCTTCATTTTGCAAATACAAAAATCTATTCTGCTCATCTCCACTAACATTTCCACCATACTTTGGCCACCGATATAGAAGTATAGTCTTTTATGAGCATTATCACTTTCTCTGATGCTATATAAATACTCCCTATGAAGTTTATCTGTATATTCATTCAGCAAACTCTTAAAAAAGAAACCTGAGGTTTTTGTGATGACGTTTCAATTTGGTCTTATTTTCACGTGCAGTCTCTTCATTGCTATGAGTGTGATTAAAAAACAATGGCACAGATAGAATCTCATTCTTTTTCTTCAAGTATGTATAGCAAATCCCTTAGTATCAATGAAAGGTTGTTTTAACTATGTTTCTAGGTTTGTTTCTTGTTATCCTCTCAGAGAGTTATAATTCATGAAGAACAATACTGTCACCAGATTGCATCATAATCTTTCACATCTACTGTGTATAAGCAATCTTTCTGTGCTGCCTTTCTATACAGAGCCAGCTGATGAGTTAATTCTGTAGAACTGGCTCAAATGTCTCCTTCCTTCCTGAGGAGTTGCCTCTCCAGGGGTTGGTTCTGTGGCATCGTGAGTCAACCAGCCGCCTGTAAGGCAGGCATCCCATGTAGGATAGAGTAACTGTTGGGATTACTTGCCTCTTCACAGGCATACTTGTGGCACTGTCACTCTCCAATGATACCTCTATTACGGTGATTACTAAAACAAACCGTAAATTCTTTCATGAATTTCCGTCTGGAGCTTCCAGACTTTGGGTTTGTTGTTCCTATTATTTGGATATGGTATGTGTTCAATTGATTGTTTAACAACTAAGGAACAGAATGCTATATGCATATTGTGATTCCTCAAATCTTGCTTGGATGCTCTAATAATAGCTACTCTACTATGCCTTTAAATGGACAATATTGGGTCTTGTGTGAAATCAATTACTTAAACTTCAGTATGCATAATGACAGTGACTACTATAGTTAATTGTTTAAAAGCTGTTCTATTTTTTTGGAAGAAGTAAAATTCACAGAAAGTGAAATGTTGGAATTTATTGCAGGAAAAGTTGTTCAAACTGAAGAAAAACTGTTGAAACTCTTAAACAATTTGAGAATAAAGGAAGAGCCTTCTTGCCAGTAACAGTTCAACGGCTAAATGTCCACACTAAGCAGCACTTTCACGGGACTGGAAAACTATCCCTTATACACATATGAGCTAGGTAGAGACAGTTAGGGCAAGTGGTGGATGATTACTTTGTCATTGATGTCACATTCACCTCTATATGGATTTGCATAAAAGGTGATAAATTATGACCCTCTTGTTGTTCCCTAGATACCTAGGAATTCTGAGAAGTGTAAGACACCCTGCTGACTCTATTTCCATAGTTTTACTAGCTACTAATTTAGAACCTTGAAAAGCAGTACAAGTTAGATGAGGGAATGGAAGGAAAACACACAAAATCCTTCTTAAAGCATATCATTTCATTATTCAATTATGCAAAGAACAACATTGATTATTCATTCTCAGGAGAAATAGAGAATTAATTATTAACGATTCAATATGAAGAATTATGCTTCAGACTTTGAATGGGCTAGCTATTACAAAAACATTTCAGTCAACAAAGCAATAAAGTTCTCACTGTTCAGAGTACTTCATATAATTAAAGGGACAGCATTCAAGAAACCATTCATGGATACTGTAAGGTTCCATCCAGGTTCCCTCTTAGAAATGGAGATCTTATTTCCTCAGATGATGGAAATACTGCTAGTAGACACCTAGGTCTGCACTCAGCCTTTGCAAAGCTTTTGAGGATGAGTGCATAGAAAATCTGATGAATTCACTCAACCTGAGGACCACTCTGCAGGATATTTCTGCTCTCAGTGCTCTGACTACTGAATTGCAACTGCACTCTTGCTCCCCTTCCTCACACTGGTACCGGCTGCTAAATGTATTCTTCTATCACAGGAATCTCACTCTCAATCACTTCCCAGAGACCTCACCCAGTAACAGTGGATGAAAAAGGTGATTCCGAATGCTTCCCCTGACACAGGCTGGCTGTAAGGATTCCCTCATTGGGGGTAAGCCTAAACAGCCCCACTGATAGCACTAGTTTTGCCAGTGTTATCTGGTGGAGAGAATGCACTATCCGACAAACAGGAGGTAAATTAACCATAGGGACAAGTGGAATTAAATATTTTTAGATTCAAATGAGGAAAGAGAAGAAAGGTACAAAGGCTGTGCCTGGTAGCTCAAAAGTAAATATGCAAAGTAAAGGGGATCATGGATTACATGATAGAGAGATTTTCATCTCTTTGTTGCAGGAACAGGAGGATGGACCAGACACACTGAATTCCCAGATTCA